TAGCAAAAACTGATGGGTCTATGATATATTTTATCCTTCTCCTTTTCCTCCTCCTCTTTCCTCTTTCTTCCTCTTCCTCTTCCTCCTCCTTTTTCTTTCCTACAAGATTCTTCCTCCTGGATATAGACTAGTGAATCATTTATGGACACTTGACCCTAGCTGGGCCAATCAGATATCTTTTCTACGATCTTGAAACTGATTCAGCGATGGGTAGGCAGGCTTTGTGTGTGCATGAATCCAAAGCAGTAAACTCAGGAACTGTGGGGCTCCTATGCATGGAGACTCATGCTAGTTAAAAAGCTCTAGACTTAGCATTTAGTAGGGGTGGATGTGTGTGTATGTGTGTATGTGTGTGTGTGTGTTTTGATGGATGACTATATAAGCATTCTTTCTTATAGTGATTTATTCAAACTACAAATATAACTCCTTAAAGCATATATTACTACAAAAGACAGACATACTCAAAGATCTGCAGTAATAGTGGGTGCTGCTGCATAAAGGATCATAACAACCCTGCACCATTTTGAGGATTAAAAGAATTAATACATGTAAAAAACTTAAAACAGTTTCTGGGAAATTATGGACACTCAATAGGTTTTAGCTATTATTATCATTATGGAAAGTTGGTTTTGGAGAATCTCTTACAAGAAGAAAAAGAGGTAAAAGGAAAGGGAAGATGAAAAAAACAGATATGACTTTTTTTTTTATCAGAACATGCGTGAAAACTTTGTCTTGCAAGTTCATAAGAGTGTGGTCAGAGTAGAAAATAAAACTACACAGTGGTTCAGCTCTGAAGAGCATAGCTGAATAATTGTGAAATGAGGAGGTTTCTTCCCTTCATTTTTCTGAAGTGTGCTTTAAAAAAATCACACATTTTCTTTTAATCCCTTTAAGTATTCAGGCAAAACTGGTGCATTCGAAAGTATACAAGTACATGCAGCTTGAGAACCAACAGACTAGTTAATGAAGCTATTCTACTGTGGTTTTTATTGCCAGATCAACTGTTGCTGAAAGATTAATTTAATTTATAAATATTTTTCATCGAGAAAAATAAGGCAGGATGAAAGCAATGAATTGCTTAAATCAAGATACATGATTTGGTTCTCTTTAAACCCAAATTTAGCACATAAAATAACAACAGTCTAGTTCAGTTATATAGAATTATATCCTAGAACAGTTATTTCTAAGATACTGTATATAATCTTTCCGTCAATATTTTTGATGGCTTACTCATAAAATTATCAAATAAAATAAAAGCATTAGAAGAATAATATTATCTAGCATTTATGTACCTTTTACTGTGTGTCAGAAGCCCTGCTGGGTGCATTACATACATTATTTCTTTCACCCTACAACCACCCTACAAGGCAGGCTGCAGAGGACATTGATTTTGGCATTGTCAACTGCCCTTTCTGTCTCTTTCCTCACTGTGAAGCTGCTGCACGGTCTGTTTAAGACTGAACCCAGTCCCAGATCAACAGATTGGCCTAAATCAGTGAGAGTACTCTTTGCCATTCTCCCTGCTACAGAAACAATTTTAAAGAGCAGGCATGAACCTCTAGACGATTAAATCCAGATGAAGCTTGAAGGGCTTGTATTTGACATTTGTGGGACGAGTAGGGCTCTCCTTCTCTGGAGGGAACAGTGTGAAATGGGAGGCTGCAGATTGCAGACATTTGGCCAACCCAAAGTAAGCCAATATTGGCACAAACCCTTAGAAAAATGGAGCCAAGGCGTTGATCAAAACATTCTTGAAACTTCGGAACTCTTAATTTACATGGGCTAATGCATTTTGGTTATTTAAATTTGTCTTGAAGTTTATAATCAAGCATCCTAAATGGTTCTTGGGGGTGTTATTAGCCCCATTACACACAGGGGGAAAATTAGATTAGCTATGCCATCACTTAAGGAAATAAGTTCTAGAATTAGGATTTGGATTCTGGGAGTCAGAACTCTAGAGCAATGGTGTTCAACTGTTAAGATAGATGGCCTTCCTAAATAATGATTGGAAACATTGTAGCATTTGCTATTATCACATTCAAGAAAGTTTATAGGAATGTCCTTTATTATCTCTTCATCTAATTGAAAAAATTTTGATGATGAGGTTTTTTTTTCCACTTAATTTCTTTGAGCAAAGTGAAAGAAAGGACTGAGATGATTTTGATGTTTCAGAGTCCAAATAGTTGGGTTACTCTGTATAAAAAAGAAATTCTGAAAGTATGATTTTTCCATTTTGAAAGAACAGTTATTGTTCACAATAATTGTTCCATTTCTCTAACTTGGAATCATCATTGGGCTCTTGAGTGCCTGCTCTATTAGATGTATTGAGCATTTGGCTTAGAGTAGCAGAAAGAGTATGAGTTTGGAGGATTAGACATATAGAGGCCTTACATTAAATTCTGATGACTCCTTGAAGGGCTTTATGATACTGATCAGTCTTTAAACCTCAGTGTCTTCTATAAAGATTGGTTAATAATACTTTCCTCACTGGCTTGTTGAACAGATAAAATGTGATAATAGACCCATGACTGGTAGAAAATAAGTTTAATAAATGCAGTCTAAGTCACAAAAAATATTTTTGTAAAGTTTATATCACTAGGGGGGCATTAGTAGTAGTATCCAATATTTTAACATTCTCTAAGGAGTTTGTGTTCCTT